ATACATGGATATAACTGTAGGTCATTCAATGATAATGGAACTCCCTAGAATAGTGAATCAATTTGTAAGCCAAAACTATCATCTGATAATGGGTACTTCACAAGTTCATAATGTATAATAAATGATACTTACAAAAGGTCTTCCAAAGGTTTTCAGCTTGAATAGAGTTTCCAAATTATTTTATTTGACATAATATTGGTTTCACAAAATTTGAACATCTTCATTTGATATTTTTTATGATCTCAGAAACAACAGAAAGCAATTGATTGTGATTGATAAAAATCAGATTAAAAAAATTGAAGTATCGCATTCTTGAACAGATTGCTTCGCAGGAAATCTATGATTTCATACAAAATGTCTACCATGAAGTCTGCTCTTCATATGCAATTGGGCTGCTGAATATCATGGCAGTAGATCTCTTGAAGATGAAACTGTTTCAAGATAGCCTGTGGAAACAACTTTTGAAAAACAAAACAAACATATGTTTCCAGCTGTCATTTCATTAAGAATACTAGTCTCAAAAGTTTTGAGAAATCTTTTATAATCTATTTCAATATAAAGAGCTGATCAAATGTTAAATGCAAAATATGATTATCCAAAGTCAAGGTGACACTAGTAAATTTCTTTAAAAAAACAAACTAATCAACTTTAGACATTTATATTATATCCCATACTAATATGTGTGTGTGTATATATATATATAATATATATATGTGTGTGTATGTGATGGTATATCCAGGTGAGCGATCATTTCTGTATTTTCAAGTTGTAATGGTTAGAAAAAATTCTAACACCATAAATCATAGATAGAGATGGAAAGTTCTTTTAGTCACCATATATCATCATGCTATATGTGGAGATGGTGGTAGCAAACTTTTTGGACAGGACCAGGTATCATTTGTTTTCTGTGATCCTTATTGATTAAGAAAAATTCTGGCTACTTGAACTGCAACACTTGTCTTTCACTATGTATCACATCAAATCAAGTTCTAATTTCATCACTCAACTCATGACCCAGAATTTCAAATGAAGCAGGATGAAATGTAAGTGCAATGAAAGGAAGAATTCTTTTGTTAGCTATCCAAATAAATCTCACCTCAAATGATGTTAGAAAATGACCTTGCTGACTGAACTTGTCACATATGAACAGTGGGAGAAACCTTATACTAGACTTTGCTTAAAGCTTTTACAGAGTTTTAAATTTCAAAAACTGCAAGATGATGTGGTTGTCAAAAGTTGATTAACCTGGACATGAATGTTGCATATTAAAAATGTCTTTAAAAGCTGCAGGATCAAGCAGAATATAGAATGTGTAACTTATATCAAGGAAAAATTCTCTTTTGCTCAAAGAATCAGTAAAAGTGTTACTTTAGGTATTTTTAAGCATAATCTGACAAAGTCACATTGAGGATTCAGTGAGAATCAAACCAGCTAGTTATCTTCTAGACTACTTTGCTAATCATTACTCCACAGTAAGATGTCTTTTTGAAGTTTAGTCTGGCACAAGCAATAAAGGGTACCCAGTGAGAATTGAAATCACTACATTATTGATGGTTTACAAGTGTGATGATTAACCTTTGTGTGAGATTCCAGAATTGCATATTTTTTTGAAGAAAAAGAAAGGGGTGGGTGAGGAAAGTAGAAATCATTTTAATTCTTACAAACTAAAATCATGTTGTGATGATAACATAGCAGACAGATGGATGAGAGACCTCCTGGAAGTGTAAAATGTTGAAAGAAAGGGAGAGAGATGAGAAAAGAAAAGAGAAAAAAAAAAAAAAAAAAAAAAAAAAAGAAAAAGAAAAGAAAAAAATGTTTCCAGTGAAAAAAAAGTTTTTGATTGCGTACTGAGTCTTCAACAAAGAGTACTGGCAATTTTCGCACACACCTGATAGAAAATCCAAGGTTTGTTCAACCAATTGTTAGTATGTTTCATCTGATCCATTCTATAGGTTTCAAGCGTATAATATCAAAAAGAAATGTGACATGCATAATATTCAGCGATATCATTTACTGCTACTCATGTAATTTATGAAGTGGGTTCCTCTTCGATACCATCCTTATTGTAGAAATAAAACGGCACCAAGATAAAATTTATATCACTTGATTTGACATTTTTAGATTTATGCTACACCATCACCATTCCAATTCTCAGAGATGCAGTATAAAAAAAAAAAAAAAAGAAAAAAGTTTTTTGTTAGATTACACATCTGAATAAGGCTGTAGAATGAATTGGTCAAAATATGGTAACAGTACAAAGGAATTCAGTCCTTAAAAGTTCACAATTAAGTGTTACAACTTTTTTTTCCTACAGTTGAATATTTATCTGAGTTACTTTTAAAATTATTGAAATATACTTAGATTCCTGATCCAGGAAACTAAACAAGACCTATTTCACTTATTCGGTGTGAAAGACATTAAAAAACAAAAAAAAAACTTCACAACATTTCTACAATAAACAAACATCAGCTAGCAGCTCTTAAGAATCATACTTTTCTTCTTCTCAGCCTGTGAAGGACCTTTGTTGGCCAAGGCCTAGACCCCCCCCCACACAAAAAAAATTGTTTATGGAGTTAAGAATGAGCTATTACTCTACTGTGCTGGCCTAATCAACATTGTTTAGAGGGCAGATGTGACACGCTTGGGTGATTATGTTTTATGATTCATGATCACTCACTGGCATTTGATGAGTGTCATGAATCAACAAATTTGAAACAGCTCTTAATTTCTCAGTCAGTCATTATACACAACATCAACTGTATTCCCAAGTTATCACTCAAGGACTGACAAGACTTGGATGGTAATGTGATATGGTCAAAAGCCCACAATAAGTATACTTTTAGGTAATTAATATTTGACAAATACTTTAAGATTTAAAATTAACAACCATAAAAGTGCTGTTTATTAAATTAAGATTATCATTAACTGGGTGCAGGGGTTTTATATTAACAGTGAAAACAATTTTACTCATTTTCATGTGGGTAAACCTTTCCATTCTACCAAACTATTTGTCTTTCAAAATTAGGTTCTTAGTAGTTAATTGGAGGAAATTCATTCAGTGATTCTCTACAGACAAATCAAAAGTTTCCATAGTTTTACATTTGAACAGAAATGAACAAAGATTATGACTTGGTATTTCAAGATTTCAATTGGGTTAGAATTTTGGCGAGAAGCTTTTCATACCAAATATTTCAAATTTTAAGCTAAGAAGCAGCCTTTGTTGGATTTGACAGTGAAATTATGCATTGAATAACTCTAAAGAGAAGCAATTGCTCATGTGATTGTATTTTATGTTAAAATAAGGATTTTAGAAGATATATATATATATATAGTGTGTGTCTTGTAGCAGAGCTGGGAGAAATCAGTGCCAGGCTTTCCATCTTAAGTGAATCATACTCCATTTACAAAGGAAAAAAGAGCTCACTCTTTCTACCGTGATGAGACACCAAATTTTATCAGAAACAATGACGTTTATTTATTGACTGGTTTATTTTGATAAAAATTGAAAAGAAAGAAAGAAAGAAAACATTTGTTACTAGAAAAGTGTTTTATGACAACGATAGCGTCAGCAAACAATGATGGTTTAAGTAGCTTTATTAAAATGAAATATTCAGTAAAACTTATGTGCAATTCATCCACCCACCACTCACAATAACCACCTCTTTGCCCAACACTAAGTCTCTAGAAAAAAAATATTTGTAGTAGGAGGTCTGTCACAGAGACCGGGGTGGGAGTAGGGTGCTACACAAGCCATAAACTCATCAGGTTTTCATAAACCACATCCCTAGTCCAGTCAGCCACCAACTAAATTATAAAAGTTTATTACTGAAGAATGCATATGTATATAACTGGTTATTCTATTTAGTATTCAAATTTTTCAGAAACAAATTCCGAATAATATACACGGAATGGGAAAAAAAAAAAAAAATTTAGTAAATTGGAATTATAAACATTATTGAAATGACGTCTTAACTATGAAGACAGAATCCAGCCTTAAAGATTCCAATGGGAGGCTTTTAAGTGGGATACAGAGAACATGTTATTACGCAAAATAAGTGTGGTGGCCTTATGTATTCCAAATGGGAGGGAAAAAAAAAAAAAAAAAAAAAAAAAAAAGAGGTTAGCCGTTGGGCAATAGTTGGTCTTCAGCAATCATAGCCTCATCTAAAGAGCAATTATGTATCTTGTAGTTTAATCAAGAAAAAGGTAGCAGTGATAACCTCAAGTACACGAGTCAATCATCACCCACGCAAGTTTGAAAATAAGCAAGGTTTATTACATTCCCTTCCCCCCTTTCGGTCTGAGATTTTGAAGTTTATATTGAATTTTAACACTGCTGTAGAGAATTGACACCATATTGAGAATGCAGTCTGAAACTGCAGATTGAGAGTTGACAAAGTTTTGCAGATCTTTAGAGAGAGATTGAAAGAGGGTGAAATAACACCTAAAATTTGGAAAGACACAAGGGAAGGTTTGAGAGGTGGGGAAAAAAAAAAAAAAAAAAAAAAAAAGAAAAAACCCAAAAAACAAACCTTTTTCTTACACTAGAGAAAATAGAAACCAGAAGCAGAATTTTATGTTGAAAGAAAGCAAAGAAAAAAAAAATGGTCCTGCTAAATTGAACACAAAGACTAATAGCTTACCGCAGTCTACTTTTCCATATAAAGATAGATATAAGTTAAGATGTTTATTTTATAACTATAGCAAGTAGTGGAATGAGTAATTATTTGATAAATATCTATAATTTCTAGAGCAACAAATAGACTTTAAGAAATTAAATGCTGACTTATGTCAACTTTGCACCAGGATAAATAGTTAATAGCCAAGGTGGATCACAGGACAATTAGCTGCCATATTTGGAGTTAAAAGATCCGTCAGACAAGGAATGGCGTCAACACACACACAGAGAGAGAGAGAGAGAGAGAGAGGAAAAAAAAAAAAAAAAAAAAAAAGAAGAAGAAAAAAGTGACAATAATTTGTGCCATGTAAAAGTCTCCCACCCTTCCTGCTATTGGAATTAAAAAGAGGAAATTTAGATAGAAGAGGTGGGGGAGAGAAATAAAAGCACATAGGAAGGGAGGAAGCATTTGTTTCCAGTAAAGCTGCACAGACACAAGCCAAAAAGTTCAAACTCTTTATTACTCATTAACTGTTGGATACATTTGTGGGATGATGAAAACTAATTGGTGGTGCAGTTAATTGGCAGCAAGTTGATTGTACAGAAAAAGACGTTTTCAAATTTTATTATTGAAAACAAACACTATTTTTCACATTTTGTTTTTTTTTTGTTTTTTTTTTTTTTCAAAATTCATGAAATGGAAAAAATAAAAAAATAAAAACAACAATTTTTTCCAACTTGTGCTTGATTTTCTGTACAGGTTCACTGAATTAAAAAAAAAAAAAAAAAATCTTACCTTCACATGGCACCGCTCTACAAATAAACACTTTTTTATTTAAATTATTGCCTGGCCAGTTGTGTCAGATGCATATAGCTTTTGTTTGATAATGTTTTAATAGTGAGCAGCCAACAGCCATATTGAGACTGTGGCAACAAGCAGACGATGCTAGTCTAGGAGAAGTGAGTAATAAAAAAAAAAAAAAAAAAAAAAGTTAGAAGCTTTGCAATTGGAAGTTATTTTTCTTCTCTTAAAAGAAGAAAAAATCCTTTCCTTCCTAACAATAAAGTTGCTTTAAGACCAAAGCTATTTCCAGAATCAAATTAGATGCCTCGAAAAATTAACACCATTCCCTTTCAATAAGGAAGGGGCAAATTACAAAACAAGTTGTAAAAAAAAAAAAAAAAAAAAAAAAAAAAAAAAAAAAAAAAAAAAAAAAAAGCAAGCAAAAATGCAACTGCTTTGTAGAGAACAACAAACATGGTTAATGAGTATATAAATAGAAGTGGAGAAAGAAGAAATATCAAAGCATGATTTTAAGACCTCTCTTCATTATTCATTTTTGACACTTCTGGGAATTAAATTTGCATCCTTGTTAGGAAGGGAAGATGTTCCAAGCAGTTTCTTATAGAAATGGTTAATATCTATAAAGAAAACAAGATAGAAGTGGGTGGGAAGAGAGTCTTTGAGGAAAGATATTCCAAACAGTTGAAGGAGAGGCTATAGAATGTATTGGGGAAGGATGCTTGTAGTGAATGGGTAATTTAGGCAATCACTGAAGCCACAGAGAAGAGACACAGCTGCCAAGAAATAAAAGTTGGGAGAAAAAAAGGATAGGGATGACCCCTGCAGCAACTGTTGCAGAAAGGGGCTAAAGATAAGAGGCAGGAATACCCACTAAATATACATCGGAAGGCAGTAGTTGACGTAAAATGTTTTATTTCACTTAAAATTGACCAAGAAACAGGCAATTCTCCAACTAGTCAACGAATGCTGCTTTCTATACCTACATAACACACCATAAAACAACCCTTTAAAAGCCATTCTACCAAATTTTTCAGTTTAGATTTTTTTTCATCTGTTGGATAAAACTAGCGTATGGCATGTCTGTGCTGCATCATATGTCCTTGCAGAAATAAGGCCGCTAGTATAGTCATTATCCCGTGACGTTGGTCTATTAAAGCAACCTCCACAGCTGGAGGGGTCTATGTACACAGTTCTACAGGAGAAGTAAACATACACTCATTCAATCTTTTTACCGATTCAATTTTCTTCATGGATGTATGAAGTTTTAAATTTTTTTTTTTTTTTTTCTTCCATTTTTTCCTGTTTGACAAATAGACGGATTTTGGAATTCAAAATTTTTTAAAATTTTTTTTATTTTATTCGTCTCAACAAAGCTATGTCAGTCGTCACTCATCCCAGGCTGGTAGGTTCCTCTGAGCTGGGAGTAGGTGACTGGAATGTTGAACAATTGGGGGGAAATAAATTAATTTTTTTTTTTTTTTTTTTTTTTTTTTTTTTTTTTGAAAAAATGATGAAATCTCCTGGGCTTCTATTCCTCACCTATGACAAGCACACAGAAGACAGTCATGCCCTTCACCCTTCTAACTCAATCTAGCCAGAGTTTAAAAAAAAAAAAAAAAAAAAAAAAAAAAATTATAAAAAAATATAAAAAATAACAGTAAAGAAAAACAAGAAAAACAAACTGAAAATAAAAAGCATAATTTGTTGTTGCTTTTGTTGGGTAAGAGAAGAGAAAAGAAAAAAGTGTAGAAAACAGAGATTGCAGATAAAAAGGAATCAGAATTGAAAAAGAGGAAAGAAAGAAAACAATATCAAGAAAAGTCAGATGTCTGCAGCTACCTTGGGGTGTTAGAATGACTAAAAGAGTAGAAAAAGAATCTACAAATACAAATTAACTTAATATAGAATGAGCATTTATTGAAAAAGCTGAGAGTTAAAGGATTGCCATCACCACAACTTCATTTCATTTTTTTTTTCTTTCTTTTATTGATTTTTGCAAATGAAGATGTTAACACTAGCATTCAATAGTCTGTCAAATGTAAAAAGTTCTACCCAAAGACTAGCCCACATACTAAGCGGGAGTCTGTCTCTCACTTCCATCTAAATGTCAAGATTTAAATTTAGAGAGAGAGAGAGAGAGAGAGAAAAAAAAACAACAAAAAACAAGTAAAAAATGAGGGAAGGGTAGTAGTATTAGGTTTCCTTTTTTTATTTTAAATATATGCATTTTTAAACCATGTCCTTTGTCAGGCCAACCAGAATTGGCATAAGATTGGGGTTATAGCAGTTTTATGCTAATTTGGACCCGCAGAAATTTGAGCCCAATTTTCAATCCTAGAATACAATATTTTTTTTGCTATTTTTTTTTCTCATACTTAAGGAGAATGGGGGAGGGTAGGTCCCTGGGTAGCAATTTGTGAAATACTGGGCATGGGAATAAGAAAAGAAAGAAAAATTCTAGACTGGTGTGAAGAAAGAAATTTAAACATCAAGAGAAATAAATGCAATTTTTAAGTGGTAATCTTGTGTAAGAGTTTTCTTTGCAGTGCAACACACACACACACACACATATATATATATATATATATATATATATATATATAATATATATATATATATATATATATATATATATATATCCTGATTCCTGAGCACTGTATCTAGACAGTAGGAACCGGGAAACCATGCAGAGCTCAGAAATGGTCCAAGTCCTATGCTCAAGGACACAAGGGAACCAAGATAAATCTGCAGACCTGCCAGTAAGACAGATAATAAAAACATAAAAAAATTAAAAAAAAAAAAAAAAAAAAAAATAAATAAAAAATAAAACAAAATGGTCCCCGTACCTTGTCAATGTGCTGCTCATCATCAACCTTTATGCATACAGAATCTTTTAATGGTGGCATCAGATTAAACTTCCAAACTTAAGTTTTCTTTTTTTTCTCCATTTTTCAATTTTTCTTCCAATTTTTAATTTTTTTCAATTTTTTTTTTTTTTTTTTTTTTTTTTAAATCCAGGGTTGTAGCAACTTGAAAAGTGAATCAGTGAAGCATTAAAAATTTTCTGAGTGACAAAATATTAAAAATGGAAATACATGCTAGCAAAGGTACCACGGTATTGATTTAATTAGTTCAACATAGGGAATCTGAACTAATGTAAGAAAGCTTCCTTTATTATAAAATGCCCAGGCTGCTCATCAGACTGACTGACTGACGGTGCATCATGCATCATGATGGGCTATCAGGCCACTACACACAGTATGTGATTCTCATCAGAATAGATACTGACCTCCCAAAAGCTAGTATTTTGAACTAATTAGGTCAAATATGAGTCTTTGCTGGATTACTGTCTTTGAAAATATCCACACAGCAGGCACTCTCTCTTACTCTCAGCCAGCCACACAATGTACATAGGCTCTCATATAGCACTCTCACGCGATTAGATGAACCAGAAGATAAATTACAGTTATCCTCAATATATTCAGAGTTCTCTTGAATATGTTTTGGTGAACGGAGGGAAAAAATTAGAAAAAGAAATTTGAGGAAAAAAAAAAAAAAAAAAAAAAAAAAAAAAAAAAAAAAAAAAAAAAAAAATTTTTTTTTGTTTTTATTTGTGTAAAAAAATTGTGCCGCACAGCCCCGCATTCTGGTTCTTTGCTTTTGTAATTGAAATTTTAGACTACTATGGCACGATCCTCAATAGTAGGTTTCGGATTCAACCCAGCCACCAGGATTTCGTCTCAGAATAAGTTTTCGGCATTCATCATAAATGAAGATTAATAAACTATATGGAAATGCAGGGAACCACCAAGAAGCCCTGAGGAGAGAAAAGAAAAAGAAAATATATTAGAATCAGTAAAGACTAGAACAGTAACAAGTTTTCTTTCAGGCAAAATGTATTCCAAGATTTCAGAAAATGGAAATTGAAAAATGTCTGATATGAAGATAAATATTTCAAAAGTGTGTATTCATTTATTATAAAAGTTAGTGCATTAAGGGCCGTATTAAGCATCAGGCATATCAGAATAGTTTCAAGAGTCATCGAATCTCAGCTTCAATTAACAAAGCTATTTAAAAATGTGCGCCTATGTTATACCATAATCCTTGCAGCAGCTTTTAGTTCACATTGTTCTAAAAAGGAAAAGGGCAAATTCCAAGATGCTGTTTGAGAGGATAGAGACTTGCAAATCATTAGATAGAATTAAAATAGAAAGGAAAGAAAAAAGAAAAAAGAAAAAGAAAAGAGAAACGATCTTTTGGACAAAGAAACTATTTTAAAAGGCCTTAAAATATTTCAGATTTTCACTATCTTAAAGATGATAATTTCAAAATCAGGATGTGAGATTCCAGTTTGTATAGTAAACATTCTAGCAATATCATTGTTTGAATGAAATCAAGTGCAGTGTGTGGGTGTTAAAATGGTCACAAATTTAAGTTCACTAATTTGTACATCAAAAAACTTCATATCTGCATGCAAACAAAAAAAGTAAACAGAATAGGTATTAAAAAAAAAAAAAAAAAAAAAGACAGGAGATGCAACATGGTTTACCTGAGAGGTTGCATACGCAAACCCTGATCTAGACCAGGACAGTAGGTCAAGAAGGCAGCTAAGACAGTTTCAAAAATAATTCCAAATGTTAAACGGTGATTCCTGTAAAGAGAGAAATCATGAAAAGATTAAAACAATTTCATTTTTTTTTTTTAAGATTGCTCAATCAGCAAAGATACATTCTTTGTATTAGGAAGCAGAGAATGGCATAAGTGGAGGTACTAGTCACCAAGTGGTTAGAATTATGAAAGTGCAGTTGTGAAGTATCATTTGTATTCACTTTTGATCAGAGAAAGTAGAAATAGTAATAATGATGCAAATCATTGATTTGAAAAATAAAAATTAAATTTTATCTTAGGTTTTATATTTGTTGATATAAGCTTTTCCAAATTTAAAAAAAAAAGAAAAAAGTAAAATAGAATTATTTTCTCAATATTTTTGGCCAACTGAAAATTGTATCAATTACTTTATAATGATGCTGACAAAGTATAGTGAACTCGTGTTATAATTATTTTAGATATTAAGAAACCTGGAAAGGATGGGTACTTCTACTGGTTGGGTATTCAGATATTTTAAGACTATGGCATTTTGAAGATTAACAAAATACAAGATATCAGAAGCTCAGTAGCTTTTACTAGCAATTCAATATCACTTTGAATTAAACATTATCTCCAGTAATAAAGGATTTGAAATTTTTAATTTCATCTGCCGAAAATTGTGTTTATATTCCCAAATAGAATTCATTGAGAGTTACATTAGAAAAGGTTTGTAGATTTAAAGAAAAAAAAAATGAATTAGTAAGAAAGTTAGGAATCAGAAATTTACTTACTTCATTCCTTGTTGGAACAAGGAAAGCCTCCTAGTTTTGCAAATGATGAGATCTGCCCATTGTACAACAACAATAGACACAAAGAAAGCAGTGTGGCAAGTATACTCTAACTTCTTCCTCTGGGCATATGTCTGCAACAAGAAATAAAATAAAATTACAGAAGCTTACATGAGGCTTGGAATTTAAAATAAGAGATGGTTATTTAAAAAAGCTAAATTTTCTGAAGTGATTGATTTCCATTTGAAACCAAGTAAAGCTAACTTTTCACAAAACTAGGGAAAAAAACACACACAATACTCCTATATACTTATAGATTTAAATATATTAAAGAAACATCTAAACAATCATTGCCTCAAAAACGTTTTAATAAAAAGGAAAGAAAAAAAAAGGTTAATTCATTTCACTTACCCATTCTTGCCCATAGGAATCTTCCAAATCATTGACTCCCATAGAGTCCCAGTTTTTACGGATACCTAGCAGCCTTGATATCCAGAAGCCATTCTCAGCCATAATGACAAAATAAGTGAAAAATCCGGCACTGGCTTGGATCATTCCAATTTGACCATAGGCCATACTAATCAACCTGGAATATAGCAAACATTAACATCAGCATACTTATAAATTCACTTTAATTATTGTTTCCTAAACAAACCAAAGGAAAAAAAAAAGGAAAAAAAAAAAAAAAAAAAATTACCGGGAAATTTAAATAGGTTTTTAATGAATTTTTTTTTTTTTTTTAGAAGAGTTTATTTTTAAGAGAAACTTATTTACTGGTTCAAAAGAATGAAAGATTTGATTGCTTAATTTCAAGTCGAGTAAAAACTTAAATTTTGAGGAAAACAAGAGAAAGCACATTTCTGATAACACTTGACTAATTGAAAAGTCATTTGGATTAGTAACACTATTTTGTTCTGGGAGGAAGAGGGAGGGAAAAAAAAGGACAGCTTTTTAGAAGTTGTTGCAATCATGCAGGTAGCATTATTAGTTCATTACTGAAGCTGATAACATGTAAACTCATAGGAAAATGAGTGTGTCTAACTTGGAAGAGATCAAACTAGGTTTTAACTCAAATTCATTGATCATCATTTGAAATTAATTCAGACTGTTTTCAAATAGGCTATTGTCTATTCATGACTAAACAGTAAAAAGGGATGAAATTACCTCTCATTGACAAGTTTGTCATTGACTGGATCACGAGGTTGTCTTTTCATGATGTCACTTTCAGCTTGTTCATAAGCCAGGGAAATGGCTGGTACCATGTCGGTTCCCAGATCAATACAAAGAATAGTAATAGTTCCAAGAGGTAGAGGAATGTCAAGGAGGATAAAAAACAGGAAAGGGCTGATTTCAGGAATGTTTGATGTCAGAGTGTATGCAATTGATTTTTTCAGGTTATCAAAAATAAGACGACCTAAAAGACAAAATTTCAGATATTAGTTCATAAAGTGAAACATTATTTACAGAAGAAGCAACAATTACTTTAAAGACTTGGTAGGTCAAACGCTAAGCTTTTGTGCAACAATGCTACAAGACGGCAAATTGTTTTTTTAAAAATAAATCTGGTATTAAAGTTCAACTTGGAACAAGATCCAAATAATTGGGTTTAAAATACTGGAAATTTCATGTTTGGACAAAATTATAAAGCCTGACAAATTGAAAATTGAAACACTGTAAGAATAAAAATTTAATCATAACAGACTATAGTTTCTTAAAATTTAATGTCATTTTAAAAATTATCAATTTAAAAAAAAAAAAATTCTTTTTATTTACCAGGATAAAATTTTGACAGCTGAAAGTTACAAAGAATAAACAAGCCATTTAGCATTGCAAAGTTCCTGCTTAAATTTTTTTCAAGCTATTTCTCTTACTATGTCACAAAAGTAATTAAATAAAAAGTTAATTTATTAAATCAATTTCTTCACGTTTAATTTTAAAAAGAAATCAAAGTATTTAGGCCCCAAACTCAAGATACACTCTTTAAAATGTTTGTTGGTTGTCATCCTTGAAGATGGAAAAGAACATGATCTAATAGTTTTGTATCTTTTTATTCACTACCTTAGAACTGGATGAGAATAGCATGACAAACTTAATAAAAGCAAAATAAAAAATTTGCACCCAAGTTTGAGAAAATACTCAAATGAATCAGCCATAAAGTCCATAGTTTAATGATAATAAATTATAAAATTAAAGCTTACCTTCTTCAACACCAGTAACAATAGATGCAAAATTATCATCTAACAAAATCATATCGGCAGCCTGTTTGCTGACATCACTTCCAGCAATACCCATAGCAACACCTGCAAAAGAAGTTGCATCAAAATCAGTGCATGTTCTTTAGGAGTCAGAAGCAATAATACTTATTTAACATCTGATATGTGGCATAAGCATTAAAGTTTGAAAGGAGCCCTACCAATGTCAGCCTTCTTCAGAGCTGGAGAGTCATTGACACCATCACCCGTGACTGCCACAATATGTCCCTGGCGTTGACAACCTTCAACAATAATCAATTTCTGTTGGGGTGAAGTACGAGCAAACACAATTTCAGAATGATTACGAAGGATTTCATCAATTTGAGCAGGAGTCATATCTCTCAAGTCAGTTCCATGGATTACAGCTGCCTTAGCATCCCTGAAACCAAAGAGAAAAAATACTGAACATTGGTAGCAAAAGCCAATATTTATCCATATCTATTTCAAACTATCAGATTATTAATGCAAGGCAATATACTCCCCAAATCAACTTATGAACGCTGTAGTCATTTTGCCAAGATTAGATAGCATTTTGTGAAGTTTTCAACTATAAGACTAACAGAAAAGTCAATTTGTTTGCAAATTATATCAACAACTGCAACAGAAGTGTGTGTGTGTGTGTGTGTGTGTGTGTGTGTGTGTGTGTGTGGGGGGGAGGGGAACTCAAAACTTTAAGATTTCAGATAACAATAAAAGAAAAAAAACTATGACCACTTGTTCCTATTGAATTATTTAAATGTAACAATTTAAAAAAAAAAAAAAAAAAAAAAAACATTGTCAGAATTTATGGTTTTTTTCCAGAAAGATGATTTTAAGTTATTTTGAAATTAGTAAAGACAAAGCTGTTCTTCAGTGAACACGACTAATAGATTAGAAAATATCCATAAGCAAGAATATTTAGTAACTAATAATGAAAATAATATAAGGAGAAAAATTAGATGATAGACAGTGTCCTTCCTTCCACAAATTTCTGAGGATGTGAAAATGAAAGGAGTAAAAGCAATAAGAGAATATTGATAAACTCCTTTCCAAATACACAGGACACAAGTTAGATTGAGTTTTTACATTTGTCATTTAAGATTCTTGTAATGAATTCATAGAATTTTGAAGCAAATTATACAAAGAATTTGTAGTCATTTTCTAATGATGCCAGTTTATTGGTGGAATACACAAAGTTTCCAAATATTCTTCTGTATTTATTATTCTATTGGGTTCTTATCTAACTTTACTCAGTTTCTGATAATACAAACCTTGAATTAACTTGTTCGACTGGAATGCCTTGCTCAGCGGAAATATCCTCTACAGTCTTGCTTCCCTCTGAGATGATTCCGACACCCTTTGCAATAGCTTTGGCAGTGATAGGATGATCACCTGTGACCATGATAACTTTGATGCCAGCACTACGGCATTTTCCGACAGCATCTGGCACAGCAGCTCGAGGTGGGTCAATCATGGACATTAAACCAACAAATCTGAGACCGGTAAGAGGGAAGTTTACTTCATCTCCATCAAATTGAAATCCCGGGGGAAAAGATTCACTTGGAAGAACATAATCACAGAAACCTAATGAAAAATGCAGAAGGATGACAAGAGTTAGAAGTGGCATATATAAAGTGAAGAAGAAAAATAATGGGATAAATGATCAATGGATTTTATGCCTTCAAATGGAATATTCCAAAAGGATCCAACCACAAGACAAAGTGGAATTATGAAAAAATACAGAAATATAAAAATGATACATTAAAGTCTTGCTGGCTACAACAATTGTGATGCTAAGTTTTGAACCTTCAGTCATTTATGAAATATCTAACTTATTTCATAAATGACTGAAGGTTCAAAACTTAGCATCACAATTGTTGTAGCCAGCAAGACTTTAATGTATCATTTTTATAAGGGAAACAAAGGTATTACAATATTTAAACATTCAATATTGGTATAATGTACTTTTTTGACACATACAAAGTTAACGTCAAATATTTTGTTAACTTTTTCCTTTTCAAAGAAATGATAACATTCTTCAGAGTATTCAGTATGAAGCTTAGAAGAACTATTTATAGAAAATTTTATTTTTAAATGAATGTTCATGACAGATTTAGACTCAAGTAGGAAGAACTTTGTACTGGTTTTATCCATGAAGGGAAAAAAAAAAAAAAAAAAAAACCCAAAAGGTACATGAACAAGTCTGAACATGAATCAAATTAAAAGAGGAAAATCTTACCTAATACTCTTTCTCCAAGACCTCCTAATTCCATGTAAGCAGCATTAAAGTCGGATCTGAAGTTTTCATCAACATCAATGTCTTTTCCATTCATCAGCGCAGTTGAGCAACGATCCATAATTCTTTCAGGAGCACCCTTCATTACAAGGATGTATCGGGGATCATTTGGATCTTCATTTTCATGGATAGATACCTATAAAAAAGTCAATAACACAAAAAAAAAAAAAAAAAAAAAAAAAAAGAAGGGAAGTGAGAGAGAAAAAATTTGATAACACATCAATTTTTAAAGTGCAAGTCAAAAAGTAATTTCTGATTTAAAAAGGTTATTTTATATTAATTCCTTCAAATGAGATTAATTGCTAAACAAATCATTAAAGTGATCATTTTACCTGGTATTTGTTAGTCGAATTGAATGGAATCTCGACCACTTTCTTGTTGTGTCTTCTAAATTCAGAGACATTTCCAATAGAAAGCTCAACACATTTAAGCAAAGCAGATTCAGAAGCATCACCATTGCATTCCCTAGGAGAGGGACGAAAAAAAAAAAAAAAAAAAATTTTTTTTTGAAAAGTGAGGAATGAAAAATATCTATCAATAATTTAATATTCACTCAACTTGGTACTGATAGAAAGCAAAAAACAAACTTTTATTCTGAAATTCTTTAGAAAAAAAAAAGCATTGATATCAATGAATAGCTTAAAACTTATTTCCAAAATTCACATCTAAATTAAACAATGTACATAAAACAGGATACTTGATAAGCAATTAACACTTCATTCTAATCATCAAACAAATTAACTGTTTAATCTACTACACAGCAGATAGATTTTTTTTTTTTAAATTTCATTTCATGCAGATTTGGCTCATTGTGTTAAGTGGCAAAATGATACAAAGTTTTGAGAATTTATAAAAATCATGTATGGATAAATATTAGTAAATTATCTTTTTTCTGCCTTTTGCACATGGATAACTACATAGATATACATGGAGGCAATGCAATTACTATTTAACATGACCACATATATTTTTACATTATGTACAGTTTTATTTTAGTAATAAGATATTAAATTCATGTGATAACACACACAGAGTCATATTTGATGTATAAGAGTCCAACAATTCAGCTCCTAGAACTGAATAGACTACCTGCATGCATGATTTGATTATAGTAGTGAAAGCATGTTCAAGAACATCTACACTTTATGGAAGGACTGAATACAAGTAATTCGTGCACCACGAAGTCCCCCAACAATGCTCCTCAGGTTTTGAATTCAGAGTTGTCCTAGACTGGTTGCCAACCAAAGCTAAAGAGCCAAGTCTGCTCTACTACAGGATGCAGCAGAAATACTACCCACATAATAGTAAGATATTAACTAGATGAAGATCTCATGGATTCTAATTCTCAGACATTATCCATTACATCAACTGCATATTTTTTTTATCTCTCTCTCTCTCTCTCTCTCTCACACACACTGTGCATATGATGAAGCTCAATGTTTGTTGGATTAACAGAGTTTACATTTTTGTGAACACTGAAAATAGGTAGAGTTTGAAATTATGCTATGGTTCAGAATCTAACCAATATATTTTTCAGGATATTACATATTTTATGTACCTTTTCAGGACAGGAACGTTATCTTGGCCAGCCTTAAATTCTGCACGATTGCACAACATTGCAATACGAGATAGGGCAATCCAGTCAGAAGTATCTTTGCTGTAGGTGGCATCTGTAAGAGAAAAAACATTTCTGATACTAACATATAAACATAATTTGAAAAATAATTCATTATAGAATAAAAAATGAGATGATTAACAAAAGATAATGGAAACTTTACAGAAGTTTTAGAAAAGCAATACACACTGTAAACCTGAAATCAGAGAAAAAGAAAAAAAATTTCAGTTTCAAATAATCCAGATTGGTGGGTGGAGAAATAAAACCAGCTGCTTGCCATATGATAAAAACTGTCTTAATAGCAATATTAGCGAAATTTTTGGCATTCATTCACTGTGCCACCAATACTAGTGTTGGTTGAAATTTATAAAATCTCTTAAAACAAATTTTTCAGGAAAATAGGTTTTGCAAGTTCAGTAGCTGTTATTACTCTTTCTAGTGTTGATGGGGGTTTCCTTCATAACCTTTTAGTTGAAGTGTGGAATGTTAATATCTTCATTATGCCATTTTCTCAGAGTTACATTTGCTATCAATTTTAGTTGTTGTCATTGTTGAAAGTCCTCCAGTGATGTGGTTTCAGTTATTTGGTACAGTTCTTTCTTTGTGATTCTGTAATGTCAGTCCACAAGGTTCGAAGAAGGATGGTCTTTACCAAGACCCACAGGCTTCACTTGCTTGCAGCCCCTTTTAACTATTGATCTGATAAAGTGGTTGGATATAGTAGACAGTTTAGATTTTACTGAATGGGTTTTGGTGTCATGCAGGACATTCTTTTGAATGTCTCAATCTAATGAGGTTATTTAAGAATATGACTAGAGTTTTCAGGTTAATGTTTTGCTTTTGCAGTAATGTGAAGTGTTGGGCAAAACTACTAGTACAGCCTATTCTATATTTAATTTCCTTATCTCTTTTACTAAATTTGTTATAAGTGAACCATACACCATTGAAATGTTTAGTATTTACTAATCCACATCCTGAAATTTCATGATGGATTCAGAGTAGGAGCCATCACGGCTTTCATTCGAATTCTAAATAGTTTCTGTTTTGAAAAGATTTATCTTGAGTCCTATTTCTCGGAACATTTGGTAGAGGATGTTGATTTTCTGCTCCAAGATCATTGTTATCCCAACTATAAATACCTATGTAATCCACATAGCATCCCCTTTGTCCTCATTATCAGTACATTGTCCTTGAGAGGGAAAACAGGATTGCCGTCTTCTATTAGTAGGTTTGTTTGGGATGTGGCATGGAATTCTTAAATGATTAGTGTCCCCATCTCTTCACATCTGTGTTTGTAAATGTACAGGGCATAGTCTAGGAAAAGATTAAATAGAATGGAGCTCTCATTTTCTCCTTGATGAGATCTGAAATGTTTGCCTGACATGTAAGATTTTGTAGACTAAAGTTCCTCTTGGGGCTTGGATAGCAGTTGATTGATGAGAAGAAATTGATGTGGTCATACTCAGCTGTAAAGTTGACATAGCATGTATACAATTTGCTGGAGTTGTGTGATGCTATATGCCATAATGACACCACCTATCAGAATGAATGTAGGAGGGAGAGAAAAAAAAAAAAAAAAAAAAAAAATCACACTGGGTTGTGAGGCACTGACTTTCATAAAATAAAACCCTAGTTAATATAATGTTTATTAATACTTTTACAACAAGGGATCAATTGAGATATCTTTGCAAGTGTCTTGAGGGCTATCTTTTTGTTTCCATAGCGCAATTACGTGTGATACACCAACATTTTTGAGATGCCCTTTTGATTCCAGACTTCCTTCATAAACTGGAGAAACTTATTGAATTGGGAGAGGAGAGAGAGCAAGCTATTTTCAAAAGTTCAGCCTTATTTCAAGTGATGCTTTATTAATTTTTTTTTTTTTTTTTTTTAAATAGCTTTACATTTGAAAAAAGTATGGCTTGTAAATTTTAATGCCTCTAAATGAAATTTCTCTCATTTAGCCACCACAGAGATAATTCCCTGCCCACCATTGGCATGGTTGATGCTAGATTCCAGGAGAGTTTCTTGCGCTTTTCAAATGACTTGAAGTGTAACAACTACATACAATTAATAGCTGCATCTGCTGCAAGGGAAGTTGGTTCACTGTGTTGTGCCAGAAGGTTTTTCTCACCCATCTTACATATCTATCATTCGTATGTGCATAGAGTACTGTTGCCATATCTAGTCTGGTGCTCCAGCTGTTCATCTAGAGGTTCTCGACAAAATCCAAAGGAGGATATGCAATGTAATCAATACTGACTTGGCATGTCGACTCCAGTTACTTTCTTACAGAAGTGATGTGGCTCCCCTCAGCCTTTTCTACAATTTTTTTTCACGCAACTGTTATATTGGACTTTTGTCGCCATGGTGCCCGGACTACATAAATTTAAAGATAATACTAGCATCTAGGTCCCACCCTTTGAAATAGTTAAATGTAACATCCATTTCTACTCTTGCACTTTCTGCCTGTGGAACTCCTCCCGTTTACTTGCTTCCCTGATAATTACAATCTTCAAAAATCTAAATGTAACATTACCATTTTCTGATGTCTTGAACTCTGTTCATCTTTTATTCCAAGTTTTTTTCTCTCACCTTCATCCTATATAAACCCCTGTGAACCAGTGGCACTCCCACATTCCTTTGGGGATGGGGATATATATATATATATGTGTGTGTATGTACACACACAAATAAAAAAAATTCTTTTAACACACTGTCTATGCTGTTTGGCTTCATTAATGTTTTTCAATTTTCTGGAGATATTAATTTCTCAAAGAGGTAACTATTTGTTTTCTTTGTTAATTATTTAGCATTTTCCCCTTTGCTTCTGTTATTGATTTTCTTGTATCTATTTTTGTCAACTCTGAATTGTCCCACAAGACCATACTTTTCTTTCGAGTATTCTTGAAATGGTCTCCTGTGCTTCAGCTAATAAAGATATAATTTGATTCCTCTTTGTTGTTTTGATCAACATCAATTTAGACTAGTCTATTACAGAATTCTAATCTCAGCCTTCCATTTTTAAGGGTTTGTTTATTATACTTAAGTGTTTTTCATAGTTCACTTCTGCTCATATGAACTAACTTCTTGCCTCACTGAAACACAAAAAATAAATCAGAAGAGAAATGCATAGAGAAAAATGTATAGACACACAACTATTGGCTTCAGCATATAATTTTTTGAAGGACTTACTTGATTGGTCCTCACTAGTATCAGCTTCAACAATCTTTCCTCCATACCACATGTGAGCAACAGTCATCCTGTTTTGGGTGAGGGTTCCTGTCTTATCTGAGCAGATGGTTGATGTAGACCCAAGAGTCTCTACAGCTTCCAAGTTTTTGACAAGGCAATTTTTTCTTGCCATGCGTTTAGCTGTGAGAGTCAGACAGACCTGAAAGAAAAATTTATGTGACATTGAATAAGGGAAAAAGCAATTATTTTAAATGTTTTTTTTTTGTTTTTTTTAATTTACTAAAATGAGTCTAAAATTCAGTAATACAAATAAAAAATTCATTTGGTCAGAGATTTTACCATTAAATGTGCCAATTAAAGTAAAATTATAAAAAATACAATATGACTATCATACTTCCAGAAAATAGGAAATTAAATCAAAGCAGCTTTGTCAATATCTTGAAATTAGTTTTAATAATAAATAAATAATAAAAAAAAACCCTGTCAAACAAATTGAAATAAATGCTTTAGAGTTTTTGATAATATTTCCTTTGATGCATCACATTTTCATAAACACAGTAACCAAATTTTAGAATTGGAAATGCAAGAATTACTTACAGTGACAGTAGCAAGTAATCCTTCAGGCACATTGGCCACAATGATACCAATCAAGAAAATGACAGCATCCAGCCAATAGTAGCCAAGAATAAAAGCAATAATAAAGAAGGTCACACCAAGGAAGACAGCAACTCCAGTAATTAAGTGGATGAAATGAGCGATTTCTTTAGCAATTGGTGTCTCTCCAACTTCAAGTCCAGAAGCCAAATTAGCAATTCGGCCCATTACAGTTTTGTCACCAGTTTTCACAACAAGTCCAACACATGTCCCTGACAAGAGAGAAAATAAAAGTAAAGGAACAACAAATGATAATTTCAAACAAAGAATCCAAGCAATTCATTTGCGAGTAATCTTATACTGACACTGTCAGTTTACAAGAGGAACAGATGGCAAACATTTGAAATGTAATGGATTTTAATACAAAAGTGTTAACAATTTTTGTCTTAGTGTTCCAATTTTAAATATCTAATGCAAAATGATAAAGTAGTAAGCTAAGAATATTACTTTAAAAAAATGTAACATTTATTGAAAGGAGAAGCTACAACTTCATTACTTAATGAAGAACACAATTATAAGTAAATAATAAAATCTAGCTCAATGTTAAGGCAGAATAAATCTTACCTTCAACAGCGTTTGTGGAAAAAAAGGCCAAATTCTTCGTTTCTAATGGATTTTCATTGGTAAAATCTGAAGATCGAGACTGTGGCTCGGATTCACCAGTTAGTGAAGAGTTATCCACCTGAAAGGACAAGAAACTCCATTTGAGGAAAATTTGAATAAAGATAAGGATTAGTTTTAAAAGAAAGAAAAATTCTGGCAGAAATTACTGTTAACTATTTGGATTTAAATTATCTCACAAGTTCTTCCACATCAGACTTACTTTGAAGCTGTGCGCAGCAACTACACGAATATCAGCTGGAATTCGGTCACCGAATTTAACATCAACCATATCACCAACAACAAGCTCTTCAGCTCGTACATTGAGCTTTTCTCCACTTCTAACAACAACGGCATACTGAAAGAGATTACAGCAGTTCATTGTAATAACATCTTTCAAGACATTTTTGGGAACAATATTAATACCCAAAACAATTTTATGCATACAAACAGTAAACAAAAGTTCCTAATATGCAGTAAGACTAATAAATGTTTATTCTGTACTTAATCTTAAATTAAGGAAAAATATTGAATAGCTTGTAAAAAGCTATTTAATACTTTTCCTTAAATTAAGATTACCTAGATAGAAGTGTTGGATTTAGTGAAGAAAAGAAAAGAAAAAAAAAACAACAAAAAACAAAAGTGGATAATTAAGAGCAAAGCCTACTTACTTGTGGTACCATGTTTTTGAAAGAATCCATAATCTTAGAACTTTTAGCCTCTTGGTAGTAAGAAAATATACCTGTGACAATTACTACAGCAGTCAGCACAATACCTAGGTATAACTGGAAAGAAAGAAAAACAATTCAATAAATGTGCAAAAATAAAGTGGAAATGAATGAAAGGGGGTCAAAAGAAGTGCATCAAATTCTACATTAAAGTCACAATATGAAGCAAAATTTGAACTTGTAAAATATATCAAAACCTCAGGTAATATAAAACTGATAAAAAAAAAAAAAAAAAAAAAAAAAAATGAAGCCTTTGATGAAGTGTTAAAAAGCTTTTATTTTGGAAAACACTTCATCTGAGAAGGTTTCATCACCTCATTGTGCCATCTGTAAGGCAGTGATTATTAAAATTGTCCAAAACTTGTAGTTGTGTGGTTTCCACTACAAACAAATTTATTACAAATTGATTCCCAAAAGTAAACTGTAAAGCTGGTGTCAAAATTAAAAAAAAGATTTCGTAAAATTGTCAATATTGCTTCAAACTAAAGGGAGGGGGAGAGATCAGACAAAATATTCTTCTGTAGGCAGTTATTCAGAAAACAAATGTCTGACCAATATAATGCTTAGAACAATTCTAATTTTTTCACTAAGATTCTATGTTAATCTATGGAAAAAATGAAACGACTATCACAAAAATATTTTCAAATTTTCTTTTAAAATTTTAAGATTAGGAGTTTTTTTGTAGATTGCAGTTAGTAAATGCTGTAATAAATGCAAAAAAGAAAGAGTGCAAATTTCACTAGCAACAAAACAGAGAGAGAGAAAAACATTTATAATTCCAAAATTGATACTAACGTTGTCACCTGGTGGGTCATCATAAGTCCCTGCTTGAATACCATAGGCAATAAAACACAAAATTGCTCCAATCCAGAGCAACATAGAAAAGCCTCCAAACAATGTCTTGCAAAACTTGACCCATTCAGGTGTAGTTTTAGGTGGGGTAAGGCAATTGGGTCCATCACGCAAGAGAATTTCTTTTGCTTTTTCTGGACTAAGACCCTGTAAATATAAATAAATAATAAATATGTAAACTATTTCTGTAAATACTCCTGCTTATGAATCTTGATATGTGAAGACCACCCCCATAAAAGTTACTAAAGTTATGTGGAGAGAATTTAATTATGCTCTATTTCTTTAAACAAGCATTCATCATTAGTACTAAGGAATTTTTTTTTTTTATAGTCATAACTATTATAATTATTATCTTGAGTAGTTCTTTGTATGTCAGATTCATTGTAAACTAAAACAAATTATTTCAACTTGTCATAAGAGGAAAGGAAAACTTCAAACAAGTCCATGAAGTTTTCTAGTGCTGTAACAGTTAAACCATTCAAAAGGTATGACCAATGCTGAGGCCTTTTTCAAGGTTATCTTCTGCAGAAAATAAAGAAAAGTTATATTGATGTAAGAACTTACCTGAGTCGGATCTGTTCCTAACCTTCGGTAGAGCTCTTCTATTGGGACTTTATGTTCATCCTAGTAACAAATAGAGAAGGAAACAATTAGTAAAAATTAAAGTTCACTAAACATTAATTTTTATATTCTCATATTCTAACAACTCCACTAATAGAATATGCTCAGAAGCTATCCTTTTGTTAGAAAAGATAACACACAGTCATAAAGAGGAAACATGAAATACCCCAAACTGAAATGCATGTCCAATAAAAATGTAAGAAAGTTTTGAAGAAAGTAAGACAAAAGTTTCAAGTGGAGAGAGAAAAGAAAAAGAGCAATTCTTTTAACCAGATTGTAAAGAACTTTTTAAATCAATAAGCAGCAAGAAGTCAATGAAATCACAGGAGAGATTATAAAGCAGACAAACAAAGCCATTTTTCAAAAAAGGTTTTATAGACAACCAGATAGATATAAAAACACATGGCATCAATTTAGTATTAAGATTTCATATAAAGTCTTAAAGTTATGAATCAAAACCAACCAATATCACTGTGTCTATTACAAGACAACTGAAATATGAAGTGGGTGCTGAAAAGCTTTCAGACTCGCTTCTCAAATATCAGTATCCTGATGTTTGGTCATTAAAAGACTTTTTTGGAAAGTGGGTCAAGCCAAGAACTTTTCAGCAAATTCCTGTGAAGATAATCAGTAAGAGACATTTTTTTTTTTAAAAACAATTTGTGTTTTTCAATAAAATGTCAATTGAAATAATAAGTTTCATAGAGAAGAGTTAGAATCTTCCCAGAAAAATGTACTAAATAAAAGATTCAAAAGAAAAAAAAAAAAAAAAGATTCAGAGAAATCTATAGTTATGATAATAAACTAGTCAACTAAACTTGAGCATGAGACATCCTGGGTAAATCTATTGAGCAAAGCACAGCCAAAAAGGAATTAAGTAATTTTAGCTTCTTATTGACTTTTTACACTTTAGCAACTTCAAAAGTTTTCATTGCAGTCAGTTCAGAAGAGAAATGTGGATTTGACAACAAAAAGCTTTAAATTAAGGGGCAAGAGAAATTCTACAATCTAGGCTAACTTGTCTAAATAACATGGTAATGATTAAATCTAATAAAAAGATGGTTTTCATCTACAACCATTATAATAAATTTCCTCATTATTTAGGTTTTTAACATCCCCCATGAACAAAACTATTTAAAGTAAATGTACATTCATAGTGCATTATTGCTCCCATACAAAAATAAGAGAAATGCCTACGCTTCTCCATGTTGATTCTAATATTATTGGTGGTACCCCAAAAAACTGAACATTTCCTTTAAGCTTAAAATCATGACAAGAATATTCAATTTGTTTTTTTCTACATTTTTAAAAAATTTGGTTACAGTGCAAAAATAGCTGTAATTGAAAGCTTTAATTTAAATAATGGAAAATATTTTTGAACAAATGAAAAAGTGTTAAACTAGAGTTCCAAATTAATTACAGTCAAGTAACAATATAAAGAACTTGAATTAGTATTTATTTTCAATTCTAAATAAAGAAATCAAATTCTTCAAGTCACGAGAAGGACAATAGTCTTTTGTTATCATTTACTTTTTGATGTGCAGGAAATTAAATAACTCAGATAAGACATGATCTTTAAGATCAAATGTCACAGAATTAGCGCATATGAAATTTTTATATATATATATATATATATATATATATATATATATATATATATAACGTCATCCACAGAGACTGTTTTGCTGTTTCACAGCTTGTCAGTGTGGCTAGACATCCGGTTGCCTCTAGCTAGGATCAAAACCCGACTGAATTGGTGTCAGTCGGAGATTCTAACCATTAAGCCGTCGGCGCATGGTAGGGATGGAAGTGGATTTTTTTAGCGTATTTATTTTTAGAAACACACCCAGTGACCGACAGTGACTAAATTCGCATCTGCGAAGAGTGTATACACACACACACAATACATCCTGAATGTATGAGGTGTTTTAATTCAGATTAAACATGAAGGTAATATAGCTGTATCAGGGTAAAGGATAAAACTGATCAATACTAGCACAAGCTCCAAAATAAAGTGTATTACAATATTCAGATCCTATATTGATACACTGTATATCCTCTTTGGGTATTAACATAGGTCTATACTATTATGTACATTTAACTGTCAATACCATCCTGTAATATCTCTTGTACCTGTTGCCGCAATACTGCAAGAGTTATAAAGGTGGGCTAATTGAAAGAGGTATTGTCCAATCATTTACTACAGAGGCCCAATTGGTGACAAACCTGGCAATTGGGCTGTGCAGAGAAGTTGCTGATCATCTTGTAGAACATGATGAATAGCACATCAACATCTGGATGATATGCTATTCAAAATGGTTTAAATAATAATCTTGACAGACATGTCACTAACACCTCTCCATCAACAAGACAAGCAACAGTTTTAACTGATGGCATTTACACAATGATGCTAGTTTTGCTGTTTTTCCTGGGCAAATACACTTTTGAAATAGTCTCTCCCCAAGCATATGTTGCACATGCAAATGTGCATCACTTGCATGTAGGCAGAACCTGCTGTCATCATTGAATGAGCACTAATCAATCCCCCAGTTGACCTTATGATTACACCATTGAAGATATGCATGGTGGTGGTCTGGCAGAGGTCTGCCCAAGAAGATACATGTGTATTATTCTGCTGCAAGTAAACAATTCTTACTTGTTTATGTTGAAGTTCCTGGAGTGATATTTACTCTGATCTGTGTTATGAACAGAATATTTTGACATTGGTGAAAGTTTGTATGATATGGGCATCAAAACCCTTGGTCAATGAGTGTAGGATGATATGAAAGCACCACAAACGTGTCACATTTAACAGGCTGAGCAATTCTCTGAAATGGTCATCCAGTTTAAGGAAGGCCCACAATCCAATCCTTAAATGATTAACTCAATGACATGCTTATACTGAACTTTATTGCAGCACACCTGTGTATAAAACTAAGACACAGATCAGGTACTGGTATGAATATTACTATGTCACAAAATGATCATAGACTGAAAGTTTTCTCAATAGATCTTTGCATGCATAGATTGTATCCAGATTAAAAGCAACATTAGCCTTCCAGCTGTTGCAATTCTTTCCTTCCATTTTAGTTTTTAGAAAGTCTCAGGTAGATGGGCAAAATGTAAGATTCTAAAAGTTGAATTTCAGATTTTTCTTTTCACATGTTGGACAAATATTTGGGAAAAGAGAATGAACATTAAATGAACTAACTTTCCCTAGGAAAAAATAGAAAATTAATGTGCTTTATTTGTACATGTTTTTATTTTTTTTTAAATATAAAACCACTGATGATGACTATAGCTTATCATTGGTAAACAAAGCTAGAAAACTATGATTTTTAAAAAGAAACATGCAGCATCACATTTATCACGCTGTGTTATGAAAGAAAATAAACCTATGCTGATGAAAATTCTTGAAATATCACATTCAGATAAACTAATTTTGCAAGAAATAATCAGTTATTCTGTTGGAGTTCTAGACTGAACATTTTCATAAAGCATAAATGATGGACAATGTTTAAAAAAAAAAAAAAAAAAAAAAAAAAAGAAAAGTGGTTGGTTTTAATTTTATATTACCTAAAGTACTATTATGCTGATAAAAGACCAAGTTGATATGCTGAATAAGAGTCGATATTTTCCGATAATTAAACGCTAATTGGAATTTAGAAGAGATGGATTATCATTTTTAATCAGATGTATTTTATTAAAAATGAAAAGGTAGAGCTTGTGATTAACTTTGAAGTGAGAGAAATATTTGTTTTCTAAAGAATAACAGAATTCTGAAATATGGCAGAGAATGTAACTGGCAACCTGTCAAAAACTGATGGCATCACACATTAATCCATGAACTTTGTTGCAAAAATTGATTTTAAAATTGTTATGGAAGAAATTACAGGCTAAATGTACATCCTGATGCCGCAGTGCAATTTGCTTAGGTCCCATTGACAGACTAATCTGGAGTTTGGCTCAATGCTTACTTTTCATTTTACTAAGTAGAAGGATTCAGAACTTCAGCCAATGAGTAAGCAGATAGATTTTGAAATAACTTTCTCCTCGCTTCTTCCAAAACTGCTTCATATTGAGAGATGAAGATTAGATTTGTCAAAAATTTGATATTCATCGGTTAATACTTGCAAGATATAAACATTTAAGCTTTTTTTCAAGTCACTTTGTAAATTATACCTTTACTTGCAAATAAACAAGGGGAAACTACTCTGTAATTAACCAAACTTCAACTATATTTAATGCTAGCTTTACTTGTATTTCTAATTCTTAATCGGGAGTGTTTCATGCTAACTGATATTTTAACATACAATTCATAAAAATTGTAATAAAGTATGGAAAGGTACATAATGAAAGAGGAAAAGAAAAAATGAAAAGACTTAATTTTTTCATATTATAAGGATAGGGTAATTTTTTTAAGCATATCTTTCTATCATAAGTTGGCAATTCTTTTATAATAAAGATTGACTAAATGTTTCACAATGTTACTACTCTGCAGGCTCAGATATCTGAAAAGTGCTAGCATTGCAAAACTTTCAGTTGGTGTTAGATAAGTAAAACTTTATTGATAGTAATTATTGCTCTAGATATCGACTGAGCATTCCTATTGAAAAAAATTCTGCTCATTTTGGCATATGGTAAATGACAATTTTATGTATATCAAGCCTGTCCAAGAAACCTCTAACAAGTCTGATGTTCGATTATTTGCTCATATTATGGTTAGGCCAAGAACTTTTCAGCACCATCTACAAAAATTGAATCATTATTATTAAGGTGAATTTCAACTCCACACCATTTAGTTGCAAATTTGACTGTAAATAGCTTTATACCTCAAATTAGGGCATTTTAATGCAACTGCAGATCTCACTACAATATGCTACTTTTTTCCTGTTACAGTAATATATGAAAATCAGATCAATATAGATTTATTTTTCTTCAAAATTTTTTGGCCCAATCCATAACTTAGAATAAATCCTATGCCAATGATTTTAATGCACAGTTGTTCAAAAGACAAATACTGAGAAATTGGTCATATACAAATGTTTTTGAATATATTATTTACTAGCTTACAATCCTCCCTATTGGGTGGCATTTAAGCTAGCTCCCGTGGAGGGTTCTAGATTGGGCCTTCATCACAATCGATAGGGTAGAGTAGATGCTATAGGCAACAAATTAGAGAAAAACTCAAAATTGATCACTGCATTTAAGTATTGCATTAATATTTATGCTTACTTTTTAAAAAGTTCAACAATAATTCTTCTGCCACCACTTAATTTAAAGACAATTTGATGTAAATAGGTCCTTTCTTTCTGTACAAACAATTATTTTTATTTCATGGGTGACTTTTGCTGGATTTCACAATTAATTTTGATTATTACCAAATTTAATTTCAAGCTCTAAAAACTATTAACAAAAACTTGGGAATCCAAAATTTCAGGATTGTGGGTCTGGATCCAGCCTGGAATTTTTTTCATTTGCTCACAGAGCTGGCCTGATTCTAAAATGGTATAATATGTTGGGCTACGGCCTCTAGGAGTCAAGTTGAAAAAGTGTGAAACAGTGACACACTGATATTTGCATTAATTATATAGATGTCAAGCTTTTTCTTGGAGAAGTAAAGTAAAATTCTTATATCTTACTAATTTTCTTTTAAATTTTAAGACATGTTACATCATGTTTTACTTCAGAGATCCTGCTGCCAATTATAAATGTGGGATCAAATAAACCAGTAATATTTTAAATGAATATTTAAGTCAGAGGAAAGAGTATTACAAAGAAAAATGAGATTAAGTGCACTTTGTCATGGTCCCTTCTTCATTCCTATTAGAAGCTTTGAAACAGATTCTGAATATTTACACTGGGCTTAATATTGTCAGATGAAAAGATGGCAAAGACCTGATAAAATTGGATGGGTAGGGTATACACTTACCATATCGAGCTCCTGCTTGAGCTCATCCAAATCCTCCCCCTTCTTCTTCTTCTTTTTCTCCTGGCCTCCTGGCGTGACAGCATATCGATAGCTGTCAGCCCGTGGAGCCTGTAATAATAATAATAAAAAAAAAAAAAAAAATTCAGTTTATTCAAATTTGAAACTAAGTAGAAATGTGCAATAGATTCAGATCCACTATTTCCAAGTTACTGTGTGACAATTGATAAGAAAAAAACCCAAAAACAAACAAGAAAAAAAAACAACAACAAAAAACAAAACAAAAAACAGAGATACGATAAAATTGATATCAGACAATGCCACTGTTGGTGGCATTGTTCACTTTGCAGTCATTGGCAATCTGGCCAAACCCGTCCATAATTGATTATAAAAGTCAGAATCTTTGCATGGTAAGCATCCCAATGCACCGATCTTAGAATAAATGTTCAGCTGTTTTATTTTAAAAATTCAGTCTCAAGAAAAATGTCATATTAGAGAAGACTGAGGAAAAAGTCAGCAAAAGAAAATATTCCATTCATAAATGAAATAAAATAACCAGAGAGCCTAGAGGAGACAAGGCTATTAAAAGAACATTGGTTTGTAGCAACTGGCTCATGCATGAAGTTACCAATGCCCAATGTCATGCTTTCAAAAAGGAAAGGCAGAAATATTATAAAAACCCAAACATAAATTATGAAAATAAGCCATTAACAAGTTTTAATAAATTGGTCATGGTTTGATTGAATGTTTTCTTGTGTTTCTTAGTGAGGCAGCACACTAAAACTTTTACCAGAGTTAAGCAAAATAATTTATCTGATCTTTTGCACTGGCTAAAACCTCACCTAAATAACTCGCACATTCATTTATTTCTGAATGAATTGATGACATCTTACCAATCAGTTATTTCAACTTGAGAGAAAAGAATCTGATAAGATCAGCTTTTAACTAAATCAAATTTGGAGAAGCCATATATGCATGTCTGCTCGTGTTCAGGTGGGAGAGATGTAGAGAGAAGCTTTTATTCTGAAGAGGATATATAAAAAGAAGCTGTATAAATAGCCTTTAAAACTAAGCAAGGATAACATCAAAAGAGAAGTCCTTCCAAATTAAACAGCTGAGGCAACTAGTAAGCCAAGTTTAATCAAATTATTAAAACCAAAGTAAGCTACGACTTGATTCTTCACAACACATCAATGCAAAATTAAATATTCTAGTTGTAAATATAATAAATGCTGATGATAAACTTAATATTAGAGTATGAATGAAAATTGTCTTAAAATATTAATCTCTTTATATAAGTATTTTGCAGTAAATAACTTAAATATAAGTTTCAAGTATAAGAATGAACAATTGAACATGTAATTCAACAGAAAATAAAGAAATTTAGTAGAGAAAATTTATGTGAAGGTCAAATAAATTTTTCATGCATTTATTACACATTATTAATAGCACATGCTTCAACACTTGTGAGGCAGATAAGAATCAATAACATTTATAATGAATTAACAAATATCTTTGATGGGTAGAAAGAAGTGTGTGTGTGTGTGTGTTTTCATGAAAGCTGAACTATATCAAAGTACAGCAGTCAACCATCAAGGTCACAAGAACCTATCCAAATTATCATTTCATGTCCTTGCAGGCCTGTCCTTGCTGCAGTTCATTCTTCTAAGTAAAAGAGGAAAGCAGATTTCAGCAAGTAGTACTAACAACAGACATGTTATATAAAGAATCTGCAAATCATGCAATCAAACAATTGGCAGGACTGTCCAGTCAAGCAGGCAGCATGACATAAAAGGAATGGCACTAGCATTTCCAATGGCTGCTGTTCCTGATAACGACAAATTTATTGATTTCTTCCCAGCAGCAGCAGTGTTATCATCTTCAGAATTACTGATGAAAAGAGTTTTCCTAGCAGCAGCAGGAGCTTGCATTGTGGCCGCCATTACTGCAGCAAACACTTTTCTGCATTGCTACATAAATTCAACAGAATGCATAAACCTACTAAAAGCCACCCACTTCTTTGGCAGCAACAAAATAAGCTTTTTGAACAGAGACTTTAATTTGAACTTCGATAGAGAGAGAATTACATATTCTCATCCTGATTTATCTCAAACATTTAGATAAATACAGTGTATAAAACCTAATTTTATTTATATCCACCAAAAAAGAGTGAACAGTCTTTAAATCAAAGCATTTCCAATCAGTCCTTGATAAGCAAATTCATAGATCAAACAAAAAGTTGGTCACACTAAATTCACATGCTTGAACTGATGAGAACATGCACCAGGCAAAAGGTTAATCCTTGCAAAACTATTTAAGAAAAGGTCACTAGGCCAACAGTAGTTGAAGTGATCATAGGTTATGTAATAGTTCCCATAAAGGCTGTTATTTGATTCAGTACTGATAATTTTGTGTAGATATCAGTTGCCCAAGATCAATGAAAAACTGGCTGTCTTAAATTGTTAGCTAATTATTTTGAGGCGCTAAGTGAACTTACAATCAATGGCTCAATTTTATCGTGAAATGCCTTAAGAAAATAAAAAAATGATTTTCTTTTAATATCTCATTTTATACTGATGATGAAATGAAGAGAAGGAAGAAATAGCAGGATCAATTCAGCATTTAAAGCACTGAAGCTGAGCTAATGCTGCTAGTACTACTACTTCTACCACCTATAGAAGCACTATTATAGCAGTCATTTAAAGTGGAAGTGGCAGTGGAAAAAGCAAGGAATCAATATGTTGCTGCTAATTCTTAGGTCATTCTTGATTTAAACATTAACAGCTTAGACAAAGTCAACAAGGACATAAGTTCACATTTTTCAAGAAAATTGGAAACTAGTTATACAAGCAACAGTTTCAAATCTAAAATGTCAATTATGAAGAGAGAAATGGCTGATAGCAAACAATATTTCAATTTTAAGATATTTATACAAGAAAAAGTTACACCAATAATTTCCCATGAGAGAAATGTTTGTATAAAATCTAGTCCATTAATTACAAGTCTTATCAACTTGGCAATGATTCCAGAGGTTTAATAAAATCTTGGTGAAACTGAAGGTCACCTTCTGTTGTATGGGATGTTCTTGTGTCATTTGTTAAAAGGACCACAATAAGAAATCTTGTCAAAATTGAAAAAGAATGGACTATTTTCAAGTGAAACTTTACAGATTCAAAGAGCTATTGTAATATTATGAATGCAATAGAAGGGGAAAGGTAGACGAGATATTTTTTTTTTTTACAAACAGAAAATGTCAATATTGAATGGAATATGAATGCAGGGAGAGTAATTAAACTATGGAGATACCCTTCCAACAAGTCAGATATGCAGAATACATTAAAAAAGAAATGTTCTTGGACAAACAGTTTGTTACAGAAGGGATTGAGTAAGAAAATTCTAAGGTTGGAAGTTGGCTATAAAATGTAGGGATATCCTAAACCTGCTGAAGTAACCCCAAGAGAAAATATTTCACGTGTTCACCTGACACTTCACATTTCTTTTGTTAGCAAAGATACCAAGTTAGAATTTAACAATTAAAATAAAGATGTTATTTTAAAAGGCACTCTTAATTCTTTTTCAATCACCTCAGTCACAAAATATTTCCTATTTAAGCAATTGTAAGATGTGTTTTGTGCTAAATTTTACACTTCCCCACCAAAATGATAAAGCAAAATCAAAGTGAGTGGGGATAATAAAATAAAACAACCAATAAGAACTAGTTAGAAAAAAAGATTGTTACAGAATTGTAAGTAGAAAAATAATGCACTGATATTTCCAGAGTCAGTCGGCTGGTTCAATTAAATTTGAAAGCAACAGAGAGGGAAGAAAAAAAAGCTGTGAGAAATGGTATGTTTTTATTTCAAAGCAGGTCAAATGATTGTCTCTGTGGTGAGCTTGCATAACATTGAAGGACATTTGAAATAAGGGCTCTTCTTATTTAAGCAGAGTTGCCTGCTGTGCAAAAATTAAGCACAGGATGAAAAAGATCTAGAAAAATCCAGTTTTAGCCGCATAGGTAGGTAGGTAGGTAAGTAGACAGATTAGACACCTGTACAAGGTCGTTGTCGGCAAAGCTGAATGTCATAGAGGGGTTACTTAGAGGTTAGATGAGTGACCACAAGTGGCCTATGATAGAGAAGAGACTAGACGAAAATAATGTAATTTATTCCTCCTGGAGAGAGAGTGAAATCAGCAATACCATTACGGATCTATATAAAAAAAATGACATTGATAACTTGATAAGTAAGAAGAACAATTTTAAAAATCAACAAAAATAGAAATTTAAAAGCTCGCTATGCCAGGAAAAGTAATAATCGTAAATAGACGTCCATCGGTAAAGGAGAATAAGTGATTTGGCGTTCGGGAGTAGGAATGAAGTAGAATTAAGAGGATGATGATTTCCCCCCAGAGGGAAATAATTAAGCCGCCTTATTTGTAACAGAAAACATCCTGTTGAATAAGTGACAGGAAGATTGGATTTAGTTGTTGAAAAGTACCAACACAAACCGAAAGAGACTCTAGAGAAAGGAGAGGTGGTAGTGACCCGGTTAGAGAGACTAACAGCTAAAAAAAAAAAAAAAACCTCGTCAGGTAGTTTTGCACCCCGACCTCCAAACTGTCGAAGAGAAATGCGAACCATAGCAGCAAATGAAAAAGAAAAAATATATATCCCAAATCCAAAACAAAGTTTGTATAGAGCTGACATGGAAAGTTACTTGAAATCTCTTGATATCTTCAATGGTTTGGGAAATATTCAAATGAAAGCGAAGGATTTAAAAATCCATTTTTCAATAGCGGACAAAAGAAAAGGCGTTTCTTAAGCAATTCAATTTCAGGTACTTAATACTAATTTTAAAAGTGAGTTAAATAACGCGTACTTGTCTGAGAAAAATTTAAGGAACATGATCGCTGTTAAAATATTAGTTAATTTGCATGCATTGATTTCATTAATGGAAACATTTAGCTACGATAGAGTGAAGGCTATACAAATCCAACTTTTTTTTATTGATAGGAAAGGTATTTTCGAGGGGTGGGGATTTTAAGAAAATTCAATTTACGGATGCTTTTTGAAGGTTATTTTAATTCGGGTGGGGTTCGGTCAAGGTTAAAAGATGTGGGGACTTTACAATGTAAAATCCTTTATAAAATTTAAGCATTACATTTTTTTAGCATAACTGATTCTGGAACCCCCTCCCCCAACCTTGTATTTTGATATGAAAGGAGAAAAATTTAAACGATAATGGCAAACAAAAAGATACCAGCACTATTCGTAGGGTCCAAAATGAAGATTGTTATTTTTACATAAATGATCTGTGGCGACGGCAACTTAAATACAACAAGCAATACAGATCTATCTCATTTCTTTTTTACGTAACAGATTTACCGGAGTTATGTGACAAAGATAGGGACTTCAATCGATTACATTACAGATTAGAGTTTTTTTGCTAATAAAACTTTCAAATTCAAACAAGACTAGCCACTAGAGAATAAAGTTAAAAAAGTAGGTTACATAGCGACTTTCAACAGGAGAGAAAAATAAGCAATAAAAATTTAAACGAAGATAAATAAGTCAAATTGACAAAAATCAGAACGATGTAAAATTTTATTTAAAATCAGTGAATGAGAAGCATTGAAAAGAGTGTCTTTTCAAATAGTTTTACAGCCGGTAGGATTTGTAAAGGTCATTAGAAGGTCAGAAGGTACCTTACAGTAACTCAGACAATTATTAGACCTTTTTTTTGTTAGATATTTGATGCCTTTGAGAAGGATATTATTTTGTTAATAACTTTGCTTTTAGTCAAGTAGGAAAGAAATAGAACGAGAGAAATACGAGTCAAAAGTAGAACGACAATGAAGGACAACGAAGAAGAAATATATTTTCTTAAATCAAGTATTTTACAACCAACATGGAACAAAAAGTAATAACTGATTTACCTGAGAAATTAGTTTAAGTAGGTTTCTTTAAAATAACACTATCAAATGTTTGTAAAATCTGAGACAACGACAATGAGAAATCCTTTACAACTAGTGATAGTTCAAGATAGCGGCTAAAAATGGAATAAACATTAATAGAAAATTACGAGACATTTTCTTTCAATTTTCGTAAGTCGCTAAAATAGAAATGGGGGTGGGGGGCGCTAGTGATGACTTCAGTAACAAAAACAAAACCAATTATACTTTTTTGGCTAATAATAATAATAAAGATGAGTATGTACTATACACACATACGTGTGGTCAGAAATATCTACGATTCTCGTCTCTAGCTAGAGAGAAAACAACACTGCTTTTAGTAATGAATGACATCGACTTGCTCACTTAGTCTGAAGATAAAAATTAAAATAGGATAAAAAAACTGACGGCAAATCGTAGAGTCGCATAAGTAAAAAAAAAATGTATGACGGTAGATTCTCTAATTTTCTACACTAATGAACCCTAAATAAGTTTTTGACACTGCCAATATGATTTTAAAAAAATTAAAAAATACACAGTATTACCAACCTAAAAATCTATTCATAACCATCAACAAACAAAACTAAAAAAACAAAAAACAATCCATTTCAATATTAATAAAATAAACTACACGACTTAATAACTGTTTATTAAAGATGCCAAACAAAACAAGGGCAATTCAAAACAAGTGAGTTTATAAATTTAAATATTCATTAAGAAAAGGATTTTTTTTATTGAAATGAACAGCGCGATTGAAACGCCAAGATGGATTTTTTTTATCTGATTATTTTTAGATTATCTTGCTTAAATGATAGATCGAAAGATATTTTTCGATCAAATCATTTATTCAAGTCTTTGAAAGTGTCTATTTTTGTAGACAGAATGGAAAAAAGCAAAAAATAAATCTTTTCTTTTATAAATTAATCAATAAGATCATTATTTTACGATTTGGGATAATAAAAAGAATTAAAGACGTTTTTAAATATAAAAAGTCTTTTTTTAAGAGGGGGGAAGCTGACAATACTAAAATAAATATTTTCAGAAGAGTTTTATTTTTGACAGTTATAAAAAAAAAAAATGTCAAAAATAAAACTGTTCTGAAAATAGCGAAGTATTGTAATGATTGAATTAAGAATCATCATCTGAAGAAAAGGATGTTAGATAATAATCGATACAATAAAATCTCAAGCCATTGCAGAATGTCAAAGAGAAAGAAATTGATAGTTAAAGAAAGGGTCACAAGAAGAGCAACAGCTGGCTGCATCAAATTGTAACAAGAATAATTTACCATTTCTTTCGCAAATTTTTCCAGCTAAACAGAATGATGATACTACTGTCATAGTGAATTAGCAACCCTAAAGATTTTTTTGTTTCTATACCTGGTCTAAATTTAAAAAAAAAAAAAAAAAAAAAAAAAAAGTGCTCATCATTCCATTTTAGCATTTTTACGACATGACAGTACAATAGTCATGACAATATATTTAAGTAAATTATATATCAAAATGTGTGGAGAAATTTCAGAGTTGGCGAGAAAAACAACTTTAAAACATTTCCAGTGGATATTCAACATAATTAAAATTAGATTTTTTTTTTTTTTAGAAACGTCATTTTGACCCTATTTAACCTTGGAAAACAATTAACAGATTTGAATTGGGAAGTTTTTGCAAAATACAAAATTGAATTGGTTGCCAGATATTTATTTTTTTAATTATTATTCATGTTTTTTTTTTAACAAGAATACAACAGATCGGAGCAAGTTGACTCATGGAATAAATAAAATAATCTAATTTTAAAATGCGTGACAGTATAGAAATTGAGATTCTTATTTTTATATGTTCAGAACGGTTTACTTTAATATCTTCACAGAAATAATCTGAAACAAACGATTTTTTTATATATATATATATATATATATATATATATATATATATATATCAGAAAAAAATTGTAATAGTTATAGAGAAAAAAAAAGAAGTATCATTGAAAAAAAAATATTTTGGATTCGTTAAATTTATGTAAAAAAAGAAAAAAAAAAGAAAAAAAAAAGAAAAAGTAAAACATTTTTTTTATCAACATGGTCAAATTTTTAATATTTTGGAAAATCGCATTTTTATTAGGAAAAAATAAGTGGTTATCCATTTTATTAGAGGATTAAGAGCTGTAAATAATCCATGGCAGTTTAATCGGGTTTTTCGTTAATAAGGTTTAGAGAGGATGTATATATTTAATGTATTATAAACCTCCTATAAACAAAACAAAAAACGGCTATATAATCTACGCGCAGAAAGAAAAAAAAATAGTCTTAGCGTCTTGATGTATAAAATTTGAAAAGTCATTACCTAATTAATTAATATGTATACGAATTGGGGGGGTATTTTGGAAGAATAATTAAAACTTGTTTAAAAAAAGTGATTGATCTTTAGAAATCTATAGAATTAGACAAAACACAACTACAAAAAAAAAAATTTGATTTTAATTGAATTATATTAAAAAACCAAACAAACAATGAAATCAAGTTAGGGAAAAGGGGGGTTCGTTTCAAAATCAAAGCTCGAAGCCATCATATGTAGCAGTAACCAACATGGGAGATCAATTTCTCCTGACAGATTATTTTGCAATCGACCTCTAAATTTTGAAAGAGTTTTCGATTTAATTAAGTAGCAACTACAGAAAACAAGAGCTTTACGGAAATCAAAACGCCAAATAAACTTAAAAAGTGGTAAAAAAAAAGTGTGTGGAAGACAAAATAGCGATTAATAGCGATTAAATAGCGAACAAGACTAAAAGTGTTATGTAGAATAAATTTGGTAGCTAACGCCTACATATACAGGGTGGCATAAAGTGGAGGACCAATTTACAGTAACCAATATGTTTTATAGTGATCCCCTACTTCATGACCGCAAAAGGAAGACCGGAGCAGGCTAAACGAAAGGTATTATGTCAGAATAACTGACAACGAAAAATACGTTTTCTGCTTGTCAAAAGCAGCAAAATCATTCGTAGAAGTAATCCATGGTGTTAAAACTCCAAGTGCAAACAAGACATGAGATGGAGTAAAGAAATATTTGAAGCAGAGACTTACCTGCTGGGACTTCGCCTTACTAGACGCCATCTCTAATACGACTAAGGCCGTCCAATTGGAAGAGTGACGTAAAGAGTAGCCGAATTATAAATGCAATCAAAAGATCGGGAATTTCCGTGCGGCCGGAGCAATGCCCGACGTCGTCTGTGCAACCAACGTTAGCACGGTAGTAGGGGGGAGAGGTACGGAAAATCGCGGAAAGAGCCGAACTTCACCGAAGTTTTCCGATGGCAGGTGGTGCAGTTGTTCGGGAACGGTAATAGGTACTGAAAAAAAAAGTCCTTTCTTTTTTTTTTTTTTTAAAGCTATCCTTTTATTTTTTTTGTCTTTCTTCCTTCCTTCCTGCGAATGCAAATACGTACTTATGTTTTGCTTATTTAGTTATCAATTCCATCCTGTAAAAAAAAAAAAAAATAGAATCAGTAGTAATAGTAGTAACTAGTAAGAAGAATCAAATTCACACGCACTCGTCTGGGAAGATATAGTGAGTGAAAGAGAGAAACTGAGGAAGAAAGAGAGAAGAAAATCCTCTAAGTGAATATTTTAGATGTAAGTGAAAAGGTAGATCTGTTAAATAAAAGTTAAATTATTTAATTTTGCGTGTATTTTTTTTTAATTCGTCCTCTCGGATATTTTCCCCCCTTTTCTTATATATATAAATTGTTTTTACTTTTTTTTTTTCCCCTAGGGATATCTGAACTGATCGAGCAACTCGCTCCCAGGAAACTCCGAGTAGTTTTATGACAGAATAAGTATAAATGATTAGGTTTTTATATCGTATTGGCTTTGACGAGGTGGAAGTGATCACGTGCCGAACACGTGATATTCAAATGAACGCCGGGTTTCGCTTTCGATCGGCAAAATTCGTTAAAATTCGTTAGCGTTCGGGGCCCCGAAATCAAGCAAGCGTCTATCGTAACTCGCGATTGTTGTGTCCTCTCTCTCGCTCTCTCATTCACCTTTTTTTTTTTTGCAACTTTACTTCATCCTCAAAGACGCTAAATTACAAACACCGGTTAAACCGAAAATCAAATTTAATTTATATTCTTTCTTTACCATAACTATATATATATATATATATATATATATATATATACATAAAATAATGGTAAAGTAAGTTTGTAATTTAGCGTCTTTGATGAAGTAGTAAAGTTGTAAAAGTAGGTGAATAAAAATAATTAAACTAAAAAAGTAATTTATTTTTAAATGATAAACTGCAGCTTACTGTACAATAATGTTAACTGCAAACAAAAATAAATACAAGAAGACGCACTAAGTTGAAGTTCAAATTTTAAAATTTAAAATTTAAATTATTATAGAGTACTGTGTAGTTATTTAGCAAACGTAAGTCAAAAATGGTATATAGTCCACAAGTTCAACATAGCAATGTAAAAGTTAACTGAAAGTAAATGTAAGAAAAAAAAAAAAAAAACTTACATTTTTGTGACTGCACAACACGTGGTTGAGATGCAACTCCTGTCCACCTGTTGGCTATCTATCTATCTATCTATCTATCTATCTATTTATCTATCTATCTATATCTACTTACCTACACTTCAGTTATTTTTATTTGCTATAGGATTTTCTGAGTTAAAATAAAAATTAGACCATTTAACAATGCACTACCTACGCACGAGGTAATTTTCATATTTCAAAAAAGATAATATATGTAATCAATATCTACATCTCTACCCATCAAGTTAAAAAAAAAATATTTTTATACACTGCTGCTATTATATCATTTTCAATGGAATTTGTTCTTAACTATATTTAAAATTTGTGTTTCGAGTTGAGATTTTTAAATCTTTACGTTGACAAGACAGACGACGAATGTATCACCTGATCGACTAGTAGTGATGCAAAGTAGAGAACCTGTAACCTTGAAAAAAGAAAGAGTAGTTTTTATTTCTTTTCCTGTCGCAAGAGAATCCGAAAAGCTTCAATTTCCTTTTCTATTCGTCTCATTTTGATATAACTTCACTGTGACTCTGTTTCTGATTGTTGGCTTATAATTTCCATACTACTTTTTTAGCCACATATCTAATGCTTTCTTTAATCAAGGTCATTGTTTTCTTTTTGGGAAAGATGCAAATGACGGGAGAGGAAAGGAAGGAAGAAAAATGTAACAGAAGCTGAAGGATGAAAATTGAAAACTAAAAAAAAAAACGGTTAAGACAACCGAAAGAAAGAAAAAAAAAATTGAGAGCATCTCTTTTCCCTAAGTTATTGGTAGCAATGTTTAAACAGAAAATTGATATTTAATTTAGTTAAGGAGACCAGAGATTAATTTATATTTTTTTACTTTCATGTTTCAATTTGTTTTTGTCGAAATTCAAATCAGCGACTACGCATGATTTTTTTTATTTAATAAAAATAAAATTCCTGTTGAAGGCCCTGAAGTGAGATAATAGAAAATAAACTAAGGGACACCACTGACCTTTTTGCTTTGTTTCGTATGCGATGTTTAATAATGATTCAGAAAAAGAAATATAATTTTAAAATGGAGAATTGAAGTAGGACGAAAAGAGATAAAACAACTTTTACAAGCAACCTTGAAATCAAATCGCATCAAAATTAATAGAACAATGTATGGTAATTTTTTAAGCGTAGCTTAGATGTGGCACAAGGCAGAAAGTATGGGGCACCTGGGGGGGGGGAACGAACTCACTACTGAATAGTGACTACTCAGTCGTAATTGTTCTAAGATAATGTTGCTAACTATTACACCATGCCATGGTGCCCAAGAACAATATGTATGTGTATGTATATATTACACAGTACAAACATACCAAATGCAAAAATATTTATATGTGCACTTTTCAGTTTCATGGACCAAGGCTTGCCAAGTTTGGCTAGCATTGTAAGTTTGATATTCTTTGGGTGCTTCACATTTTTAGCTTTATGCTAGACCAAAGAAAGTTTTATAAATATCAGAGTTTATCAAATGTATTTGCAGACTTTAATCCAAAGCTTATCTCATACACATCTAAAGACAATTTATTATTCATTGATATTATTATTATATAATCAATATTATTCAACAATTTGAATATAATATTAAAAATCCTTTGACTTAGATACAAGTGTTGAGCTTTTTGACATTTCGAGGCATTATTTTAAACTGGGCTCAAAACCACTGAAACTATTTTCAGAACTTGGGAAGTGGGAGGAAATATTTTGCCATAATACCCAAGACTGGTTTAAGCATTTCAAGATTTGTCCACTGGAATAAAGCTAAGAAATGGACAACCATCAGTTGCCATTTATGTGAGACAAATTTTCCTGACTTTTGCTCCATGGCAATATACTTAGATATTTACTAACTTGATATTATTCTTGTACAAGGTCATAAACAAGGATCAACCAGTAGTGATTAAACTCATTAAAATAATAGCAAGATTAATTATTATTCTACAGTGAGATGCTCAATACTTTTTATACTAGTATTAAAATAATATTTTTATGTGTAATATTGGTAAGTCAGTGGTTCATTATGATTTTATGACTAGTATTAAGCCCATGAATGAGCACGTAGAACTTAATTATTTGAACTAATATGTTTGTTGTTTCATTCATATTCTAACTGGCCAAATCTTTGGTCATCTCCAGATATTTGTTGCATTGGAAAACCTTAAAATAGGCACTTTTATTTTGCTTAAAATAATGAAGATATATATAGAAAATGTAATATGTCTTTACACACACAAACACACACACACACATGCCATTTAAGTACAAACATTAAGTTTAAGGCTTCAAATTTTCACCAGTGGATTGTCCAAGAGACACATGGCATAGTGGATTAAAGTATTGGTTATACAAGTACAATATCACTTGAAACTTTTAAGAAAATTAAGCATAGTAGGAATTGTTAATTACATTTGGGAACAGTTTTCTAATGCATTCATCTGGTTAATATGATAAAATAAAAATAAAAAATAAATCGAAAATGTTATTTCAACCTATGTTTATATTTATAAAATTAATTTATTTCTAAATATATTTATTTGTAAATGTAGGATTTGGGATTCTGTTTGTTTTGGTGATGATTAATAGTAATGAATTTAAACACTGAAAAGAAATGACTGAAAAATTTTCTTCTTTGAAGCTTGTACATGAGATATTTGCTTCAAATTTACAAATACTATACTTTAATTTTTGTGATATTATTAATTAGTTCTTAACTTCTATGGCTGGTACAACTAGTGTGTGTTTAAGTTAGATAATCTAGGATTTTGAATCGTACTTGAAGCCTGCTCCAATGAGAAGTGTCATTCTTTTCTCTTTTCACTCTTTCTCCAACAGATGATTTACTGACTAAAAAAAAAAATTGGTCATATTTGAGATAAATTTTTTTAATCAATTCACCTCAGGTAAGGTGATAATGCCACTAAGTAGCAAGGGTCTACTGGGAGTGAAAGAGAGTGTGAAGACTTTAGAAGGAACTGGAAACCCAATCCTGAACAGGAAACATGGGATAAATCTCTACTCATGTTCAAAAGACTGGGGAGGAGTGTGAACTGGACAATAAAGAAACCTATCTACTCCTATTGAAGAAAAAAATAAACAGTAAATAAAACCTCAAAGTTTAGGCTGATACATTAGAAGTATAGAGTGGAAGTAGAATTTAGAAGGGAATGGGAACTCAATCCTAAACGGGAAACAAGGGATAAACCTAAACTTGTGTCCAGAAGATTGGAGAGGAGTGTGAACCAGATGATAGGGGAACCTATGTACTCCTATTGAGGAAAAAAAATTCCAGAGTTTAGGCTGAGACATAAGAAATTTAAACCGAGAGTAACACTAACTGTTCAGTCAATTAATGCCAAATGTTTGCTGTATGGGAACAGCTAATTTCAACATTACCATTTCAGTTTTAAGCATTTCTACAATATACATACTTTATATATTAAATAAATACATGGAAGATGTTTACAAACTTATTGTTTATGAATTTATTTCTTTTTGCATAATATATATATTTTTTCAAATCAATTCCTTCCAAGCAAGACAATAATGCCACTAAGATG